GGGGGGGGGCAAAGTATGGGAATGTGCACATTATGCCTCTGCCTGAATCAAATGCTGAGCGATGCAGCAAGCGAATAGCCACAGTCAGAGTGGTTGTTGCTGCACCCCAAATCCTAAACCCTAAGCCGTCAAAAAGTGGTTCACGATTTGGGGGTTTGGGTTAACAGTTTAGTGTTTCGAGTTAACGGTGTAGAGTTTTGGGTTAACGTTTTACATTTTTTAATGTTAACGGCTCAACCTAAAAAACCCTAGACTGTTACCGCAAAACACTAAACTGTTACCCCGAAAAGGGCCAAAACACTAAACTGTCACCCCCCCACCCCCTCCCAAGCTCTAAAGTCTCAAAACCCAAAACCGTTAACCCCAAACCCAAAACCGTTAACTCCAAACCCTAAACCGTAAACCCAAAACCCTTCACCAAACCCAAAAGCGTTTACCTTACACCCTTAAACCAAAACCCTTAACAGTTTATGCAAAACCGTTTTTACTCTACACCCAAAACCGTTCCCCCTAAACCCTAAACCGTTAACATGTAAACCCTTATCTGTACCACTAAACCGTAAGCCAACCCTAAACCCTCACCCTTACACTGTTAACCCCACCAGACCTCCTGGGTTCTCCCTCTTGCTTTCCTTTTCCTGCCGTTGAAACTTGAAACCCACTTAGCAGAAACCATTTTTTTTTGCACAGGTTGTCGACGAGACAGATCGATTGCTGCGGCAGTCTTACCAGGGCTGGCTGCCAAGTGTGCTAAAGGCAGCAGTGGTGCTCGAGGAGGAGCGAATGACACCAGCAGGAGGAAGTTGGCGCAGAGAAAAAGGAGGTGGTTTGCCGGCTGCGGGAATGATTCGCACAGTGCGGCGTAGGTGTGTTTCTTCTTGTCCCTTTTTGCCTATGTTTCCAAGGATACGCCCTCCCGTTTTGTGTTCTGTTCGTCGTCCAGTTCTTAACGAATCACATTCAAAATGTGAACTTTTCTTTCTGTTCGTCGAGATTTGTCTCGCCTTGTCCGACTCTCCACGATCACGAAGAAGTCAGCTTTGGTCGGAACACCTCACGCTTGTTCCCCGACCCGCCAATGGCTGGGAGCCGCTGGGTTCAAAAGTGAAATACAACATTGCGAGTAGGTGTCTGTTCTGCTGGTTTCAAAAGTGGAAACGATTGTGCATGTGCAAGCGATTGATGTGGATGCTGCCAGTTCGGTTTCGCCATCATGTGCTATTTCGGGAGATTAGCTTCTAGCACGAATCCAGTCCTCCCCTGCTTGGGAGAAAGTAATTCTTTGTGTCAGGTTGAGCGGGGCGAGTCAGCTTGGTACGACCATGTTGGTTGTGAGGCTGGGACCTCTTAACTCTTATGTATGTATGGACGAATGCTGGGGAGTCTTTGTAAGGAGAGTTGGAGACTGGCTACCGTCTTCACCCGAATACAACGCCCGGTCATTATAGCTGTATTTGGCACAACTTTCAGCCCAGATACGGCGATAATTACCGTGCGTTCTATTATTCGGATGAAGACGGTAGTCCAAAAGTTTAGAACTACTGTTCTGTTATTCTGGGGACCTTTCTAGTTCTGAAGGGCCGTTGGTGCTGAAACCATTTGACGGGTGAGTGACTGTAAAGTTGTAAACCGTTTACTTGTTTCTTATTTTATCTGTTTTTTTTTATTTTTTTTATTTTATTTTTATTTTTATTTGGACCATTTCTCGATTTATGTGTGTCATCCTTGCGCAGGGGCCATGCTAATCTTCTCTGTATCGTTCCAATTTTAACGGATGTCCCGAAGGACTATTTTATCTGTTTCTTGTTTGAATAAAAGGTCTTTACGGTCCTGGCTACCCCGTTAAACTGTAATAAAGCGGCAAAAAAAAAACTCAAGACGTCAAAAATTCTCTCAAAATCTCAAAAAGGCCCAGGATCCCTCTGATGCGTTGTTTGTGCTAAGCCTGTCCATCTTAACCGGAAAATAATAGCCGGGTGTTATATATTCCGTCACGAGTGGGTGCTATATTATTATTTGGTAAATTGGTTGCAACTTCGCTGAGGCCGGCAAATGAAAAAAAAGCATGGTTGCCCCGGACCCAGCCAACCGGACAACCGGACACGGACAACGGACCCGTGTCTGGATCAAACCAGACGTCCGGTTAACCGGACATCCAGACATCCGGAACCTGACAGTCCAGTTTGCTATTTCAGTGTCCGGTTGTCCGGAGTAAAAAAAAAAAAAAAAAAAAAAAAAAAAAAAAAAAAAAAAAAACATCAAGCACAGAGCTCAAATGCACCAAGATTCCGTCCAAATAAGAGCAAAGGAGTGAACTCGTGTGCCAATGTCATCGCCCTCAGGCCCCACCAACACAGTATCCAATGTCGCTCATCTCTGTCTGGCGTCATCGCCCTCAGGCCCCACCAACACAGTATCCAATGTCGCTCATCTCTGTCTGGCGTCATCGCCCTCCCATCCCTGCTCGCCCCTCCCATCCTTCATCGCCCTCCCATCCTTCATCGTCCTCCCATCCCTGCTCGCCCCTCTCATCCTTCATCGCCCTCACATCCCTGGTCGCCCCCCCCATCGGCCAGACCCTCCTCCCACGTCACAAAAATGCAAGGAATATGAGCGAGAGCGATAGACAGAAAATCAAGTTGCAAAATCACGCAGAAGTCCAGATAGTCGTGTACCAAGAAGAGAGCTCAAATGCACCAAGAGTCCATCCAAATAAGAGCAAAGCAGTGAACTCGTGTGCCAATGTGAGGTCCCTTTCAGGGCCTGTCCGGTTGGGGTACCGGTTCTCAAAAAACATCAGCATTATTTTTCTGGGGTACCCCAGGCCCAGGTAAACGGCCTGGGAACCCCCCCCAAAAAAATCGAATTTTTTGAAATTGGGGTCCAACCGGACCCTCCGAACTGGACATCGGACCCGGACACCGGACACCGGACTGTTTGGATCGGGATCCGGACGTCCGGTTGGTAACCATGAAAAAAAGCGGGAAAAAAAGAATTATGAAGTTACACGGCCCCAGCCTTGCAGCAAAACAAACTCGTCCCCATAAGGAAATCTCGGGGCTCGGGGGAGGCCAGGTAGAGCGACGGGAAAAAGAGCCGGTGGGCCCACTGGAAAAGGACGCTGGACTACAAGTCCTCATACTGGTTTGTTTCCATATGTGAAAACAAAGGCAGGGACAAAGAAAGACTAAAGATGAAAAAAAAACAAAAACATAAAAAAGAATGCTGGCACCCGTTGAAACAGGTGCCTGCCTCCTTTCTGGCGGCCGACAGGTCTCCAGAAACGAGGCAGGCGCCTGTTTCCAGGGACACCAGCAGTATCAACGGGAGACACTTGCTAACCTCTTTCTTTTGTTTGTTTTGCTGAATTTGCACCCGTTTTGAGGAAAGGTACAGGTGCAGTTAGAGAAGGGCAAGCCCTGCCTGGTTGGCAGATTCAGATTCCGCCCGACTTCCTCTTTTTTTTTTCCCCCTTACTGCAAACTAATGGTAGCACTTTACTAAATGTATCTGGATGCAATTACAGCTAGACGTGGTTGAATCTGATGGCAATAGGGCCAGCATGCTGTTGTGTCTTTTACTATGGAATTGGGCTGCACTTACGGCCAGATGCATCGAGCCCGTGATGTTGCTTTGAAAATCCCTGCCACTGTACCCGCCGCTGCACTAATTCGGGTGCAGAGGCTGCACTACGCCCTGCCCTGCTGGCAGGGCAACAAGAAAAAAGGGAAAAAAAGAAAAAAAGAGAAACCAAACTACTTACCTCTTTATCTGTTGTTGCCCTGTTGTATCTGTTGTGCGGGAAAGGCCAGACACATGGGTGGCTTGCAGGAGAGTTTTGCAAGGTGGGGGGCGGACGAGTGAAAACAATGGCCTCTTGTTTGTACCATCTGCTGGCAGCAGGTGCAGCACTCAATCCGAGAAAGGCCGGTACCGGTACCACCCTCAATTTTCCAAGTGGTGGTACCGGTTGCTTCCAGGCTCGGCAAAATTGAAAATTCAGGCTCGTACAGATAGCCTCGGGTGTACTGGTGGTTTAAAACACGACCTTTGTCCCCCGAATACAACACACGTCGCACGGTCATTATAGCTGTATTTAGACTGAAAGATACCCCAAATTCAGCTATAATGACCGTACGTTGTATTCGGGGGAAGACTGTAGTAGTAGTACTGAGCCTGTTTTTGCCGAGCCTGAATTTCACTGTGGTCTGAGTTTTGCCGAGCCTGGGTCCCACTCCATTTTCTTTTCTCGTACTCTCACAGAAAGGAAAAAGAAGAAGAAGAAGAAGAAGAAAAGTCGTGGGCGTGAAACTCCCAGAAGAAGGGGGAAAAAAAAGCAAACAATTCTTTGACCGTGAAATGTAGTTGTATACATTCGAGGAAGTGGTAGTGTGAGTGTGCTCTCACTGAGGGCGTCTCAGCCCCGTGGCCAGGTTGTCAGATTCCAGAAAGACAAAAGAAGGCCGGAAAAAAAAGGAAACACGGATTCGGCCGTGAAATTGGCTGGATACATTCGTCTGAGTGCCAGTGTGATCAGGGTTACAATCCTCTGAGTAAACACAGCTTGAGCAGATCACGGATTCCGCCCTGCCATCTGGCAGGGGAATCATAAGAATGAGAAAGAAAAAAAAAACGAGGAAAGAACAACATCCACAATCTGACCGTTTTAGCGGTAAGATTCATTCTGTGGAGGACTACTGTGAGCACGGCCTCCTAGACTACCCTGCCCTACTACATCGTTGAGGTAGAGAAAGTGTCTTTTTTTCTTTTTTCTTTTTTTTTTTGCCTTTCACGACAGGGCAAATATAAAGCTAAACTTTATTCTTCTTGCCGAGCCTCCGGTACCTCCGAACTCTTTGGGGACATTGGGAAAACTGCTCAACAGACTGTTGAGGGTTCAGCCTCCTGATGATGTGTGGCTGAAAGTCTGTGGCACACGGATGAACAGTCTGTCGCAAACCCTTGACTTCCGCCCTTTTCTCTGTGGAAGGCAGGCATGAACATGCTTCCGGACAGGCATGCCACTGCTTTGTGGGACAGGTAGCTACTAATGGCCATCTGTGGAGATGTTTTCACTTTTCCTTTGGTGTCCATTTCTGTGCAGAACCTGTCTCCACTTTGTCCTTGCTTCGAGTCTGGCAGCAGCCATGGCTGCCATCTCCAACCAACTATCTATCCTCTGTTTTAATGTTCGGCTAGCTGACTTGGTCACAGTGTTTTTGTATGCAATCGCTTCAATTGCAAAGTTGATGATGAACTTCTATCTATGTGTGTGGCGAGGGGGCTGCTTATCAAGAATTACCATTTTACAATGATTAGCAAGAACGCTCATTGTAGATTTATATTTGGACCAGTTTTCAGGCCAGATACACCAAGATAGTAATGAACATAGGTGATAATGGTGATGGAAGTAGGGGGAAGAAGAGGAGGACAGGAGGTCTTTGTAGTTGTCACTCCATGGCTCGTGGCTGTTGGCTTTGGAAGGGCCCGTTGAGGACTGGCGCTATGTTTATGGCACTTTATGCTAGACTGGTGTGAACCTGATCAGTTTCATGTGAGGGTTTTCGATACAACTTCCAGGCCACATACAGGCAGCTAGAGAAAAGAGAGAGGAGAGAGAGTGGTGGTGATGGAAAGAAAGGAGGTGAAGAGGAGGAGGAAGGAAAGGTTTGTATTCGGTACAACTCTCAGGCCATGTACAGGCAGCTCCTTAGTTTGTCTGTAGGTGGTGGCTTTGGAAGAGCTCATGTAGGACGAGGCCCTTGTGGTGCTATGTTGTTATGGCACTTTATGCCAGGCTACCGTCTTCACCTGAATAGAACGCCTGGTAATTATGGCCGTATCTGGACTGAAAGTTGCGTCAAAT